TGCATGGTGTTTTCATTTTATGCCAACTGGCATTAATATGAAAGGACAATTACTATTTCTTACCTCTCCCTGGAACTTTCTGTTTTCTTGTTGCCAACTGCAACATAGCTACTCAAGGTTCAGCAAAATCTTAGTAAAGATGCATTTTATATTTAAAGATAAACAAGTTTACTTTCCCACAAACTGTAAGTCAGTAGCAAAATCAAAATAATATTTTAAATTCAGGGAACAATAAACTAAATAATATATACAAAAATGAACTTAGGAAGAATAAGTGGAACAGCTTGGGTGACAGGAGCAGGTATATTAATAGGTGGAACAGTTGCATGTATTTCAGAAATACTGATAGTTTCAGCATTCCCTCTGGATCCAGCAACCACTTTTGGGACAGGATTTACTACAGATGAATTTTTTGTACTGTCTTCATTCATACCACTTGCTGTACAATTTGGGATGTTTACCATAGAATGGTTTGGGTTGGAAGAGACCTTAAAGATCATCCAGTTCCAACCCCCCTGCCATGGGCAGGGACACCTTCCACCAGACCAGGTTGCTCCCAGCCCCATCCAGCCTGGCCTTGAGCACTGCCAGGGAGGGGGCAGCCACAGCTGCTCTGGGCAACCTGTGCCAGTGTCTCACCACCCTCACAGTGAAGAACTTCTTCCCAATATCTAATCTAAATCTCCCCTCTTTCAGTTTGAAACCGTTACCCCTCATCCTGTCTCTACCCTCCCTGATCAAGAGTCCCTCCCCACCTCTCCTGCAGCCCCCTTTCAGCACTGGAAGGCCGCTGTAAGGTCTCCCTGGAGCCTTCTCTTCTCCAGGCTGAACAACCCCAACTCTCTCAGCCCGTCCTCACAGTGAAGGTGCTCCCTCCTCTGGACCCGCTCGAGCAGGTCCATGTCTTTCTTGTGCTGGGGCCCCAGAGCTGGACGCAGCCCTGCAGGGGGGGTCTCACCAGAGCAGAGCAGAGGGGGAGAATCCCCTCCCTCAACCTGCTGGCCACACTGCTTTTGATGCAGGCCAGGATGCCATTGCCTTTCTGGGCTGTGAGTGCCCATTGCTGGGTCATATTCAGTGTTTCACCCACCAGCACCCCTAAGTCCTTCTCCGCAGGGCTGCTCTCGATCCGCTCATCCCCCAGCCTGTATTTTTGACAAATTGCTTCCAAGTACAGCTTTGCATTGCCTCAGAAAAAAATATTTCTTCTCCCTCCCCTGTTTTGAGCAAGTGCCTGGTTCTGTATAGAACACAGACATTAATAAGTCTGTAGAAGACTGAGCTCCCAAGACAAATAAACATACACCGATTTAAAAATATACCTCTAGGTTTGAGGCTGGCATTATGTTAAATGAAAGCAACTGTATCATTAAGCCACACTGTGTAATTAAAACTCTATTTAATCGCTTACCTGCACCCCGCATCTCTTGTGCTACCCTTTCATTACCTTTACGAAAGAGAAAGTAAACGTTTTGTTGCGGATTTTCAGATGTGTCTGGTAAAACAAATATGTTTGCATTTAGAGTAAGAATACATTGTCCTCAATCCCCACCTTGAGCACCTGTTCTCAAACACATCCCTTCCGAAGCAAAATTTTGCCAGTAACCTGTCCCTAAGAAATGCTTGTTAGAAGATATTTTTCCCCTTCAAAAATTAAAAAGTGGTGAATAAAGTAGGATTTTATTTTGAATTTATGAATTAAGAAAAACTTGTTTGCAAACTGAACTTTAGTTGCAGCAATGAAAAAATAATGAAAAAAATTCTTTCAAATAACTTCTAAATAAGTTTTCTTCAAAAAGGCTTGTAGAAAAGATGCACCACTGTACCCAGCAGAAATCTATTTGACCATTGGACTAGTGCTATCTGAAGAGAAATATTGTTCACAGATTTAGTATCTCCTGCAGCATTTGGATTTCTCAGGGAACCCTTTCAGGCACTGGGTTTGCTCCAGCTCCTGCTCAGCTGGTGCAAACTCCTCCACGGTCTTTCCTCGGAGCAGGCTCAGACTTATACTGAAGCAAACCCAGTCTCTCCTTCAGGCTGAAAATTAATGATTTCTCTGGTGAATTCCCAGAGATTTCCGTCCACTGCAGATTTTGAGAACTGCGCCCTGAGGCTGCACTGCTGCTGGTCTCACCTCTGGCAAGGAGAGGAGATGCATGCAACAAAACGCTTGTTCACATTTTTAGGTAAGAGATTTTCTCTGCAACATTAGCCCCAGGCCAGAGTCCTGAGTAATATTTTTGAACACTTACAGTTTGAAGGGACAGAAGTATCTGAAGCCTCACTGTAAAGAAACAATGTCAAATATTAGTGCCTCATAAAACACAAATCACATCTTGTTCATAATGAAATAAGAGACATGAATAGATCTGACCCCTTCTTTTGAGATGAAGGACAGCCTTCTAGACTCTACTTGGCTCTCCTTGAGACCGAAGCAGAGGAGCACAGGACACACGGATCTTAAATTAACAACCATTGGAGAAATTTGCAGGGAACGTTTTTTAAGTGAAGAAAAGGATTTACCTGTACTGCGTAATTTGATTGGCGAGTTCACCTAAGAAAGATGGAGAAGAATGTTTTACAAAGCTAGAAATGCATTCAAGTTTGCGACTTCGTACTGTGCCCCTGAATCTCATGGTTGGGGATAAACTAGGTGGGGATGAGGGTGGCCAAACAAAGAGGACATTTCTCAAAAGCATGATTGAGCACCCAAAGACTTGGGAGGTAGGTGGGAGCAGGCAACCACATCAGACAGAGGAGAAGCTGGCCTTACACTGGTTAGGATCAGACCTCTTCCTTGTTATCCCCAGAAACAGTCTTTCTGCCCCATTTGCTCTCCCTGCTCCAGCACTCCAAGATCCCATCTGAATCCTCATCAGCCCCTCAGGACCACGCACACACCCCGTATACAGGAGCCAGCGTTCAGCAGCCGTCAGCCCGGCTCGCTGAGCCCCACAGCTTGCTGTTTTCTGCTCGGGGTCAGTGGTGCACGGCCAGCAGGTTGGGGCAGATCACTCACAGCGCACGTCTTGCAGCAGCGAATCGATGTGACTCATGAAGTTCCATCTCTGGTGTAGGTAGTGGTCGATTCTGGCCTGATCCAGCTGCATTACTTCTACGTCCGTCCCACTGATGCTGAAATTCTGACCTGCAATCCTGGGGCACAGGCAGTCATTTCACCAAGGAAAACCATTTAGCATTAGAAAGTTAACAAATTCCTTCGTTAGGAAGGACTCTCTACAAAGAGGAGGGTGCTTTGGCAACATGAAGTATCAAGTAAACAGCTCTCTGCTAAGGTTAAGTGAGTGGCAATTGCTATATAGTTATTTATTTGGCAATGCCTTTTGCTTACCAAATCCGGATGGGAACTTTCAAATGCTGAAAATGAGAAAGGGGGAGGCGTTTTGCTAATCCCCTTGTGCGAATACTGCTTTGACCTGTCACAGGCAGGCTCTTACAGTTCTAGCACAACTGCCATCATGACAGAAAGAGAATGCCAAACATATTAAATGGTGTCCAGGCTTCTGGAAAATGACTTTGATCCCACAGGCTAGATTTTGACTTGTGGCACAGCTGTGAGTAATGGACTGTGCTGCTGCCAGCACAGCCCCTAGGTACACGGTGATTCAAAGTTATCCTTACAATCCAAGTTCAAACTCAGCTTTAATTTGTACAAGTTAAAGAGATGACATCTTAAAATCCAGCTAGATGTTTGAGCTAGCCCTTCATGTGGCTGGGGAGTTTAGTGCTGCAGCAAAATCTCTTAGAATCAGAGAAACATAGAATGGTTTGGGTTGGAAAGGACCTTAAACATCATCCAGTTCCAACCCCCTGCCATGGGCAGGGACACCTTCCACCCGACCAGGCATCCAGCCTGGCCTTGAGCACTGCCAGGGAGGGGGCAGCCACAGCTGCTCTGGGCAGCCTGAGCCAGTGTCTCACCACCCTCACAGTGAAGAACTTCTTCCCAATATCTAATCTAAATCTCCCCTCTTTCAGTTCGAACCCGTTACCCCTCATCCTGTCTCTACCCTCCCTGATCAAGAGTCCCTCCCCACCTCTCCTGCAGCCCCCTTTCAGCACTGGAAGGCCGCTGTAAGGTCTCCCCAGAGCCTTCTCTTCTCCAGGCTGAATAACCCCAACTCTCTCAGCCTGTCCTCACAGTGAAGGTGCTCCCTCCTCTGGACCTGCTCGAGCAGGTCCATGTCTTTCTTGTGCTGGGGGCCCAGAGCTGGACGCAGCACTGCAGGGGGGGTCTCACCAGAGCAGAGAAGAGGGGGAGATCTTGTAGATCTGTAACTTACTGTTGGTGTGGTTTTGCACCATTGAATTACAGCTGACACCCAGGCATCAGTTAGGAAGTGGTTAAGTTATAAATTAAATTTATCACTTGCAAGAGAAGGGATAGTAAATCTATGTCCACAGTAAGCATGTCCACAAGGAGACACAAAAATCGGTGGGAAATGAGCCAGTTACCTCTGCAGCCAAAGGCTAGGACTTAACATGCAGGAGTGTCACCAACATGCATCCAAGAGAGTGTTGCTGTAAACTGAACCCTATGGGCTTCATCTCTGATAAAAACGTTTTTCTGGTAATAAAAGCCAGTGGTTTTCATCAGAATCCAGCAACCATGTAGCTGACAAGGAAACTGATACTTAAAGGGACCGCTGGAATGGCAGGCAGGTATCTCTCTGTCCTCGTTAATTGTGTGGCATAGTACCCTCTGGCTCCGCTGGAATAGGGAGCAGCTTTGCCGTGTAGGGTGCTGGGACAGAGAGGCACAGGCAGTGGAGTTTGATCCCGGTTATCAACAGCATATTTTTTCAAAGATGAAAACAATTGTTTTCAAGTGGAACATACCTGTCCGTGGCCTGTTTAAATTCCTACAAATAGGTTTGCAAAAAAAAAAAGAAAAAATTGTTAGTGTGATTTCCAGAAAGGACAGCTGGCCAAGAAATGTGCATATTCATGAAGAAAACCAGAATACCGCTGCTTACTTTGAGGAAGAGGAAAATATCTGGTTGCTCTCTCATCTTCTGCAAAGACTGAAGATTCTGCACAACCTCATGTCTCTTTTGTTCAATTTCCTTCTTCACTTTAGTAATGTCTGCCAGTTGTTTTTTCTCATTGGACTGAATGTCACTCAGGATGTTCTTCTCTTTCTCAATCAGCTCTGTCTTCATCTCTTCAAACAGCTTTTGCAGCTGAGAAGTCACTGTTCTCGTATTGGTCTAAATGAACAGAGAAGAAAATGATGCACTGGCTCGGGAACTCAACACTTCAGCTTAGTGTCTCAGTTTATTAATTACGATTGTGTCTATCCTTTGCACTGGCTTTAGATGTGGCAGATTAAGGCACGGACTCCGATTGAGGGTGAACCAAAGACCTAAGACCTTATTGTTTGTTACAGCATCGTTATATACTTTCCTCTATTAGCACACGCGCCACTAAGCAAGCTGTGACTGGTGTACAACTATCGTTCACGTGCCACTACCGCCAACCCCAGTGGCTGCTATTTTGCAGGCTCACGCTCCTCTCAGAACTGCCTGAATCTTGTTAACTCTTTCCATCCCTTCTCTCCTTGTTCCTCCTCATTTAGAAGGAAGCGGACAATAAGTATTTGCTTAGATATCTGGTTAACCAGAGGATTATGAAAATTAATCCTGATATAGTAACAAAATCAGATAAAATTCAGCTAGCAATGTGAGAACTGTATTGGTACACACTGAAAATCCAACTTGTAGACTCAAATTGGTTTTGATTTATTTAATGGATAGAAAACTTTTAAAATGCATGATATGTAAATCTGTGGTCTGACAGTCCTGCAACCTGGTCTGTGCAATCACAATAAATGGTGGAATCTCCCAGCTGGTTCCTCCTGTGGCACTATGTTGGGAAGCTGTGAGAAAGCTTGGCTTATGACAGTTTCTTACACCAGTGTTTTCCCTACTTTGGACTATATCTCTTTCTATTCATCTGCTTCTAACAGTACAGTTGCCATCACTTATTTCTGGGAAATCGTGGAGGAAAGATGCTCTGAATTAGTGACAATCTGTGCACAAACCTTGAGCTGATTCTCGCTTTTCTGAACCTTTTCCAGGGTGGTAGCCAAAGCACGTTTACGTTCCTGCAGGCATGTTACGATGTCTGAGAGTTCACCCTAACAGAAGGAAAGACAGTGTTGAATTTCACAGCAGGGAAGCAGCACAGGTAGCTTTAAACCAGACTGGTAGTTTGTGGAGCTGGTGAAATGGCACAGGCACTTTCTACCTGCCCCCTTTCACCAGTGAGCCACATAATAAACAGCGTTCACTTGCCTCCTCATAGAGAGAGGGCATAACAGAAAACTGATATGATCTTGAAATCTTCCAAGTCAATGTTTAATTTTTATATATGTGTAACTCCGTGGTAGGTTAACAAACAACTTTTCCTTTGAATAAGTAAATTTCACTTTAAATTAATAAATCTCACTTTATCCCTTAAAGCTCTGTTCCTGACAGAATCTTCACATATGCCTAATGTGATCCAAGTCCTTAGTTTTCATATCTGTCAGCAGCTGTGGCATCTGAGGATGGGTGATAAGCAACCATCTTTTCTGAAGATCAGCGAAACCGTGGTACTTACTCACCCAGCTGTTTATTTTAATGGATACCATGATCCTTGAGTGCTGTTATACTGCACGATAACATGTTTCAGAGGAGACATTAAACCTCATTCTTCGGGGATTAGACAGTCTCTGAATGGTTCTGGTTGCTTCTGTCTGCCTCCAGCGGTGTTTTCACACCTCAAGCACCCATGAATGGCCAGAGCAGACACAGCTGCCAGATTCCTATTCCTTTAATAAAACGATGCCAGAAAGCTTAGGTTTTCCATGAGATAGTTGTCACAGCCGGAAAGTTTTAACTTTTGAAAAATTAAAAGACAAATAATCCAATTTGACCAAGGTTCCTTGCACCTTTTATAATTAGTCCTGAAGAGCTGCATTCGTGATTTCCCTGGCTATCCTGGGGAGCTTAAAAAAAACAAACAAGAGGAATATCCAGCTGAGATCTCAGCTCACCCATGGAGATGGATGGCTTCCCCATAGACAGGGCAATGTTGCTCCTTTACCAGCTCCAGGGATGAAGGAAATGGCTACTGTCCTACACAGCCCACTTCTGTTTGGCAGCCCTGAATTTTTTATATGTAACTTGGGGGAGAAAGTTAGTTTGCAACAAAGGACGCTTCCTGCTAATTCCCGAGGAGGCTGTGACCTGTCGTGAGGTCCACAGCGAGCCAGGCATTTCCTGCCCACGCACTGGGTTCCTGCAGGGTGTTTTGCTTGGGCTTTAAATTGAGCCCAGAAGTTTCAAATGCAAGGCAGCGAGTGAGCATAGCAAATGCATTTTATCCCCTCAGTCTCAGCTGATTCTGGAGCATTTCAAGGACAGCAGCTGGACTCAAAGGCATGGATATCAAGGCCCCATGTCTCCATGCCTGCTGGGATGCTGGCTCAGCAAAACTTAGGGCAGAGGGAGGAGGGAGCCAGAGGGAAGGGCCTTGAGTGGGAAAACCTGGTTCCCAACCCAAAGTTCGGCAGTGGTGGGGTCCCTGAGGCTCTGTGGAGGAAGAGACTTCTTAATCCCTGCAGGAATACTTCTTCATCCCAGCCAGGAATAGACTTGTCAGTGGCAGTTTGCAGTTGCCTGGGGCTGCACAGGATGGGCATGTGTCTCAGTGGCATGGGACAGGGGAGCCCTGTGCACAACACACCAGTCCCTGCTGGAGCAAGACGTGAAATCCCCAGAGCTGCTGCCTGCCTGCTCTCGCTCCGCCGTCCCCATTCCCTCCAGAAGGCCTTACCACCCCTCCTGCAGCTTCCCCCCTTCCACCAGGTCAGGAGTTTGGAGTAAGACCCGCAGGGCTGTGGGGAGAGGAGAGCCCCTTACCAGCTGTTTGTCATGTGCCTCCTTCAGGGTGATGATGCTGTGGCCCTTGTGGCACCCCACAATAGAGCAGAGCACGCAGATGTACTGCCCATCGTCCTGGCAGTAGCACTCCAGCAGCCGGCCGTGCTCCTGGCACCTCCGCTCCTCCGCTGCGCCGCCCGCGCCCACTTCGACCAGGACATGGTCCTGCTGGGAAGCCTTGGCGTTGTGTTTGATCAGGTGGGCCTGACACAAAGCCGCATCGCAGGTCAGGCAGGTTTTCACCGCTGGCTGGGACCCATCCAGGCAGAAGTCACAGGGAACCACTTCCTTCTTCCCCTCTGCCAAGCCCTCACCCTGTCGGCCGTTGGAAGTGGTGGCCAGAAATGCCTCCACGATGCTGCACAGCTGGAAATTCTTCTGCAGCTCCAGGATGGGCCCCAGCTGGAGCTTGCACATGGGGCAGGAGTAAGGGGCCTGGGATTGCTGCTGGGCACTGAGGGCCGTCTGGATGCACCGCCTGCAGAAACTGTGACCACAGCTCAGGGACACCGGGTTCCTGTAGAGACACAGGCAGATGGGGCAGCTGAGCTCCTCCTCCAGGCAGGCAGCCCCTCCAAATTCTTCCTTAGCTTTCGCCATGGCCGCCAGAAATGGCTGCGTTATCGTGCCTGTGTTATCCTGCCTGTGAGAAACGAAACTAAAAACACTTCCTTGGCGTCCTGCCCCGGTGGCAGACCCAGCCCAGAGGCTGCGAGTGCTTCCTCTCTGCCCCGGGAGAGGCCGGCAGGGGTGGCTCCCCGTCCCGGGCACCACCCTCCAACAGCTCTTGGGAGCTGCGGCCGCCACCTCAGACTGGCATCCCGTGCCATGGGCGGCGAAGTGAAGATGAACCCTGGATGAAAAAGAGTATGAGCCTGGCAGGGGTAAGCCAGGAATTCCTTCTGCTTTCTTTTGTTCTTCTCCACAAGTTACAGGTAAAACAGGGAGAACCCAGGGGAATGTGTCTTCATTTAGTCAGCTGTTCTATCACCCAGTAACCCTTTGAGAAGGGAGATTGGAAAAAGGAGAGGAGACCAGTGGGTTGAAATGGGAACAGATTTCATAAAATAATAATAAAGCCCCTTAATATTGATGCTAATATTAACATAAGGTACACAAAGTTCTACTGGGCCCATGCAGCAGCAGCGAGCTGCGCGCTCCCGGCGGTGGGTGCTGGATGTCAAGCACTGCGAGCACCACAGCTCCAGCGAAAGCACGACGGTCACAGCAAACGGGAGATGGGCCTCGGGAGCAGAGTGACGGGCGGGACCCTCCAGGGATGGCCACCATTGAGGAAAAGGGACCGTCCCCAGCAAACTGCCCGATTCACAGCGAGCGTGACGTTTATGGGATGGGATACTGCTGTTGGCCAGCTTGGGTCAGCTGCCCTGGCTTGTGCCCCTCCTGGCTTTAGCACCTGGCTAACTCGAAGCTGCTGCAGGCCTTGGTCACTGCAGAGACCTGCATACCAGGGCTGGCCACGAACTAAAACAAAGGGTCTTATTAGCTTTGTTCCCACCGAATCAGGTGCTGCAGTCTTCTCAACAATGCAGTTTTCCTGAACAGAAAATTGATTCTATGATTCTATCCCAGCGAAACCAGGGCAGAAAGTTTTATCAGGACTTGCTGAGGCTGGTCTCCTATCTGCAGCCAGCTGAGAGGAAACTGCAGGTAAAGGCTCTCAGAAAGGCAGTCTAGGATAGGAATATCCCTGTACCGTGTCACGACCCTTGTTTACCTCGCTTTGACCTGTACCACCCAAGACCAGGCGGTACAGCAGCCACTGCAGGTGTATTTGGGAGACCCAACGGTACCTGCATGGTTTTTCACATCATTTTGGTGTACAAGATGCAAAAGACAAAACACAGCCACTTTCTTCTAAGACTGAACAAGGATTTCCTTCAGCATATGCAAAAGTGTAGTGTCCTTCACTGTCCCTGCTGGGGTAGAGAGCTCCTGCCTGGACCTCTTTGCACAAATCCCTGGCTCTGTCTGAAGGCAGCAGAACCACAGGCAGCAGGCAGGAATATAATCTCTTCCTCTCCAAGGTGTTTGGACAATCATAAGAACAAACTAACCCAGGCCCTATATGGCACAGACTAAAGGCACAGGAGTTTTCCTCTTTATTACTCCCTTTGCGGTGAGATTTTTGCATAGGTGAAGAGAAAATTAAAATTGAGGCAAGAAATAGGTAAGTGATCTATCAGAGAGCTCACATGGGATGACAGCAGCAGAGGGCAAGGGAAACCAGGCATTTTACTGCCTAGTTATCTACTCGCCTCCCAGACCAGCTTTGCTGCTGCAACAGATGGCTTAGGTTGTGCAGGATAGGCAGTGGAGGGCAGAGGTAAAAGCTGGTGCATTAGAGCAAAGATCAGCATTGCTGCTGCTTAGTTCTGTACGTCAATGTTGTGCTGTCAACTTTTTTATAAACTAAATTGCCATCGACTTTTGCAAACTAAAGTACTTTTAATAACATGCAGCCAATACAACATTTGATGCAGCCAAGCAAGAAAGGGCAACTTAACAGTATTTCCGTCGTGATTAACAGAATAAGTAAGATAGAGCTCTTGCAGTAAGTGGCAGTGTGCTGTGATATACACCACAGCTAATATGCCAGCTTAGCACAGCCTCTGTGCAGTAGCAGTCCCCATACCTAGGCTTGGAAATACAGAACAGCACCTTGGCCCCACATCACTACAGGAGCTTCAAAGAGCCGTCAGACACCCCAAAGATAGCATAGGCGGGATAGTTCGAAGGGATGCTTACTGTTTCTATAAGTGTGAGGCTCTCAGCAGGATCTCCATCCTTGACAGACATGTTATAAAATGACAGTGTATTTCTTCTGCAGTCTAGCTCTACCCTGACCACTTTGAGGGCAGTAGGAAAGGCCTTTGCTGTGATCATTGTTTCACCTAGGAACAGATGGAGGCAATCATCAGCCTTTTTCAGGTAGCACTCAAAGTTGGAATGAACAGTTCCGACGTTCCAGCAGCTCGACTGGCTGGTATCCACCTCCCAGAAGTGACAGCCCTCTGAGAAGCTCTGGTTGCTCCTTATGTATGAGATCTCACTGCATGTACTTAGTCTGTGAAATAGGTAAGGACTGTGTGTGCATGGAAAGACTGTGTTGTCACTGTGAGATCTACCTCCTTTACGTACTGAAACAGTTAGATGTTCGTGAACTATAGAAAGAAAAAAAACACATTATGATTAACAGATACTTGGGCAGATTTGCATACATCCCCATTGCTGAAAGCTGGATTTCCCAATCCAAGTCATCCAAGTCAATCCCAGTAATCCCATCCAAGTCAGTCAATTCAAGTCCAACCCACGCAAGTCATTAAAAGCATGTGTTAACTGCAACGCCTTCTGCACCTCTCTTAGCTGCTCCTAAAGGGGGTTGATACCACATTTCAAGAAATGCTGCTCTTCCACAATTTTAAAGTGTCTCTTTGCCTTTTTTTTCAAACTACAGCAACTCTTAGATTTTAGTTTTCCATTATTGTCCTGCAGAGCTTCATTAGGCATTTTTAGAAACTTCCCAAATTCACTTCCACGTACAAGAAACATGTGAACAGTAACACAGCTGTTTTATAAATGCTTATTTGCTTAGGATTATTTGAAGTTATTTTCTAGAACTCTCAAAACTTCCTAGCATGGCCAGTCACAAGAAGTTAACTCTACACTCAGGAATTTGCAGAATGTTTTTACTCAGACCTTCTCCTTCACGTACTGCATTTCAATATTGTGGCATTTTCTGCTCTGGAAGTTACTCCTTCAGGAAACTGAAACAGCAGCGGTGACTTGGGTGACTAACCAAAATTGCTCAGATGGCATAGATAATTAGGAAAACCTGGATCTGAGGCTTTCTAGCCAGAACAGATTATTTACGTTGTAACACAAGCTCCACCAGCTGCTGCCATGATGAGTTCTCAACCTGCCCCGTGCTTTGAATCAAAGTGATGCTACAGATAGAAGAGGTTTTGCAATTCTCTTCTCAGTCCTCCCAGAAAACTTTTAGGACACCCACACCTCTTTACCCAGAGCCCATTTAAAATGGTGTATTCAAGGTATGCCCCAACGTGCTGAAGCCCAGGACATGCACCATTTTATGTGCTTGTATGTGAACATCATACCATGCTAGTAACCAGTTCTTCTAGAAGTACCTGGTGTACTTGATGTCTTATTATATTCCTGTATTAAATATATTTTGTTAGCTTCTCCATCTTGCTTGTCACATAGTGAAATGATCACTTACCAGGCGGTGCTTTAAATAAAGACAGCATGTCTGACAGAAATTGCTGGAAAAGCCTTAGAGTCACGTCTGTTGTTAATTCATCCAAAATAATGGGTGGTGTTGGCAGTTTTACACTGTCTTTGTTAGGAACTGGCTTGTCTTTCCTAAAACATGCAGAATGACATCAGAATAGCAGCAAGTCATCAGAAAACCATCACAGGGCCCACGCCTGAGCCAACAATTGCATCCCCCACTCCACACCCAGCCTCAATGGGAGATACAGAAAGCAGCTTCTATCCTCCCCTCCCTCTGCAGCTTTACCAGGGACTCTGCCTCTGATCGGTCTTTTCCCAGAACCCCAGATCTCCTCAACATCATTAGGATGAAGTTCACTCCATGGACAATATCTGTCCCCAGAGGACCTTGTCTCAGCCACCTCAGCCCCAGCTTTTGTCAGGGCAGATGCTAGCATCATGTTTGTGGTTACAGTCCTCCCTCAAGTCCCTGCAGTAGGAGCTAATGAGGCATCAGGGGCAGCTGCTGGGATGCTGGGACAGCAAACCAGAAGTGTTGCATTATCACAGCCAAGGGGCAACTGCTGCACCTGAAATACGGGGCTGGGGAATGGCTGGGTTGGGGCAGCCTGTATGCACGCAGTGGTGGGGAACAGCACTGGCCAGGCACTGGGGGAACAGCTCAGGAGAAAAGCCATGAACTTCGTAGACTCATGACTTCACTGCCTGTTTCGGCTCCTGCTGCATTTGCTTCTTACAAGCAGAAGGCAATACAAACTGGAGGACGATTCAGGATATCTAAGCTCATCTGTCCTTTGCATGCCCACCCAGGGGCCTAAATATTCAGGAACTGCCCTCAGAATGGGTCTCAAGAACAGGTGAGGAGGGTACATAAAAATAAGCCCTGTTGTACACGAAGAGTCACACATGACCTCTGTTAATACTTCGGGGCTTCTCCAGGTCTCTGATGAAGCCAGGCTCAGAGTGTGCAATCAGCGTGCCTAAGGGGCAGCCACGGTGACCCAGGGAGCTGTGGGCCTGCAGAATGCAGGCTGGGCTAGCAGACCTGCACCGCTGGATTATCAGTCACCTGAAGTAATGTGTAATGCAATAGTAGACGACCTCAGGAAGAGCTTACCTGGCTTGAATCGCTGCAAAAGCCTGTAAAAGATATTTTGAAAGCAGAATTAGCACAGCACAGGCAAAGGCCAGCCCAAGAGCCGAGTATCTCTGGGAAGGGAGATGCTGTTAGGTACCTTGATGAAAAGAAGTAGGTCCTTCTGATCTCTCAGAGCCTCCAGCTCCTGTACATCACAGCTGGCTGCATCCTTCCCCTCTTTGTGTTT